GCTCAGGACCGTGCTTTGAGGCATTCCTTGAGTGACGCCTACGTTCAGCAGTGGACTTGTGAAGGGCTTCAGTGATGATGATGATGATGAAATACAAATGAAACAATGTTGAAATTTAATATTTTTTTATTATTTATTAATTTTTACTTTACAATAATTTTGTTTACAAATTGAATAATTAGCTTATTAATACCTGTACATTATTAAAAAACTATAATAAAAAAACTAAAACTAATCGCTTAATTATTATACAGTCCTCATTTTAACTTCACAATATATTTTTTTTTTAAATTTAATAATTAATTTATTACTATATACAATATCAAAAAACTATAATTAAAAAACTAAAACTAATAACTTAATTATCATACAGTCCTCATTTTATCTTTATAATAATTTTGTTAACAAATTTAGAAATAATATATGTATATGTATCAATATAAGATTCACCAGTTTCACCACTTTCGTTACTCACTTTCCTTTCACGTCCTTTAAACAGGCTCTTTATTTTTAATAATTGTGCAGTTGTGTATCGCTAGCAACGCAAAGTCGGGAATTTGCATTTGGAAATATCCAAAATTAGGGGCCATGTAAGTGCTAATTAGGTGCCAAGTTTAAAAATTAGGTGCTTTAAAATTTTCACCGCAACGAACTGTTGAAATTTGCGTTGCTAGCAAAACGTCTCGCTAGCAACGCAATGAAGTTATGAAGGTAGAAAAGTATTCATGTGTGGTTGTTGTTTTTTTCGTCGTCCAACCGGCGGTAATATACTGTCGTGGGGGCTATACTATACTATATATAAAAGAAAAAACAGATGAAAGTGTATTCTTGAAAAAAATTTGGCCAAGTGGAATTACATTTAGGCGTTTTGTGAACTTTGTGCATAAGACAGAGTCGGTAGTTAAATCTAGTCAACGCATTTCGTAATGAGTATAAGTATGTCTGAAAAATTAACCTTAGCTAGTTTTAATTGCTTTTTTGTCACGCGGTCAATTGATAACATACGGAACATTTGTGGAATGTCAGATGTAGTCGCGCTTCAGGAGATATGACGTTCCACTGTTAGGTTATATCTCCAGTAACTTTGAATATACAGGTAAATCGGTTGTGGATACGTCTGTTGGCTTATTAAAGGGAAGACCATACGGGGGAGTTGCCATTCTCTGGCGGAAGGGCATTTTTGACAGCGTTACTGTGTTAGATTGCAGTAGTGCCCGCTTGATAGGTATAAGAGCTACTATAGGGGAGCGCACTGTTGTCTTTTTCTCAGTGTATATGCTTACTGACTCGTTGGACAACCTATCTATCTTCACGAGGTGTTAGGTGAACACAGTGCTATTGTTGAAAGCGAAAATGTTGAGAGCATATTTATACTGGGTGATTTTAATGCGCACCCACATGAACTGTTTTATAATGAATTAATTGATTTTTGTTCTGATCACAGTTGGATGTACGCTGACATACTGGGGCCCTTAGTATCTGTGAATAGTGCTAAGGCCAGATGTCAGGGGGACGTGCCACTGATGCGTGTTACTGCAAAGCAGGTTAGAGAGGCGCTAAGAAGAATGAGCGCTGGCAAGTCCCCCGGTCATGACGGTATTAGTGTAGAACATCTGAGGCATGCGGGGCCTCATCTGCCGAAAGTGCTGGCCCTGTTCTTCTCAATGAGCATAAATCACTCTTATTTACCACGTGACCTTATAAAGACCATCGTAGTGCCCATTGTTAAGAACAGGACCGGTGACATCTGGAGCAGGGGGAACTACCGCCCTATATCACTTGCAACAACAATTGCTAAGGTGTTGGACAGTGTGTTTGATTCGGAATTAGATAAGTATATAAACATACATGACGCGCAGTTTGGGTCCCGACCTGGACTTTCTACTGATAGCGCAATCCTGAGCCTAAAGCTGTCGTGAAGCGACAATTAAATACAAAAGAATCTAACCTAGTAACAGCAAAACAACAAAAATAGAACAAAAACAAATAATATATTTAAGATTTAAAAGATATTTACAATTTTATATAACAAAATGGAGTATGAAAATGAGGATGGATGTCGTGATTTACAAATTATTAAAAAAAAGGTAATAAAAAAAAGGAGATTAGTGTCGAAGCTGAGCCTGAAGATCCAAGGTGTATAGCAAGTGCTCTCAGCGCCTGGAACGAGCACGCACGGCGTAGGTGAGAAGGCGTGGGCGTCTCTAGGCGACGACCTCAGGTGAATGCGGTGGTTTGCAAGATCCGGCGATTTCAGGCAAGACAGGGGCTTGCAGGATCCTCAGCGACTTCAGACAGGACAGAGGCCTGCAGGATCCGGTGACTTTAGGCGGGATAGAGGTTTGCAGGATCCGGCGACTTCAGGCAGAGCAGAGACTTGTAGGATCCCGGCGACTTCAGGCAGAGCAAATGCTTGTAGGATCCGGCGACTTCAGGCAGAGAAGAGGCTTGTAGGATCCGGCGACTTCAGGCAGAGCAGAGGTTTGCAGGGTCCAGCGGCTTCAGGCAGGACAGAGGCTTGCAGGATCCCGGGGCAGTGCGGCCCCGGGATAAGGCCTTTAGGAGATGCTTCGAATTCGAGAACTGAAGCGAGACTGAATTTCTTCACCGATTGTTCGGCTTTTATACCTTTCTAGAGAGAACGGAAAAATTATTTAAATTAAACGCAAATTTTTTGAAAATGGCCAAGAGGAAGAGTATTTATGTGGAATTATCGAAGTAGAAACAACAGACCGGTAGCAAATTTGAATATAATTGTCATGACAACCAGATAAACAACGATGTCAAAACATGTCAAATTTTGGTTTTAGGCTCGTAATAGAAAAACGGCAAGATTTAAGTGAAAAATGAGATATTATTGATATAGGAAAAAAGGTAGCGCACCTCCGCGCACAAAGTCCGAAATTGCAGAGTTACGGAAAACTAAATAAAAAATCGAAAAAGGTAGACTCCATTGACACCAATTTAAAAGTGCTGATAATGTGAAAATACGAAGTAGAAATGATTTGTTATTGTGTTCTTATGGTTTAAAATCGTTACAGGATCCTATGGAAATAAAGGTGATGTAAAATATCCAGTTTTGAGGTGAATGCAGAAAATCGAAACATAATGGAAAAATGAATTTAAAATAATGTAAAATGATATGTAAGTAGCATAACACTACAAAGCACACTGTCCAATACTACACAGATCGCCAGACGCCGGTGTACGCCTGTTTTCTTGACCTTTCCAAGGCCTTTGACCTTGTGTCCTATGAGATACTTTGGAGAAAGTTGGCGGAAAGGGGTGTATCGGCTGAGTTGCTGGAAATGTTTAGGTTTTGTCATGCCAACCAAACCAACTTTGTAATGTGGGCTGATTCTCTCGGAAGGATACGTGTTGGAGTGCGGGGTGAAACAGGGGGGGAGTGAGTTGACTTCTCCCAAGCTCTTCAACATGTATGTGAATGATCTTATTGTGGAGTTGAGCAGCATGCGCGTCGGATGTCGCATAGATGGCGTTAGTATTAATAATATAAGTTACGCTGACGATATGGTGCTGCTCAGCCCAACGGTGGGAGGCCTAAGAGAAATGTTAAGGGTATGTGAGATGTATGCTACTGAGCGTGAACTCACATACAATGTCAAAATAACAGAGTACATGGTCTTTGAGGCCGCTGGTAAATGTCACAATATTGCAAATAATATTACCCTTAATGGCATGAACATGAAACGAGTCACTGAATTTAAATATCTGGGGCATATTATTACTGGTGACCTCAAAGATGATGCTGACATTGAAAGGGAGCGCAGGGCTCTAGTGGTTAGAGGAAATATGTTGGCTCGTAGGTGTTCCCGTTGTAGAAAACAAGTTAAGATTACGCTTTTTAAAGCATACTGCCAGAGCGTATACACGGGGAGCCTGTGGGTCAAATACACCAAAAGATTGCTTGAAGCCCTGTGCATCCAATATAATAATATATTCAGGATGGTTGTAGTGCAGCAGGCATGTTTGCGGCATAACAAACAGATGGTTTTAATGCCATCATACGCAACAAAACCGCATACCTTATTAGCAGGGTACGAGCCAGTCACAACAGCATTCTCAGGACCGTAGCGGACAGATATACATCGCCGCTGTGGAAATGTCTTGTGCAAAGACTGTCACTGGGCCCTATCCACCTCCATGATGGTTTGCCTCGGCACAGGGTATTACTTTATTTCACTAGATTTTAAGCAAACTATTGTTTTACTAACCCTTGTTAATAACAATTCTATGTTAGTATTCTGTGAGATCGTGGTACCACCCCGGTTCGAGCCGGCCCATCCGTGCGACAGCAAAAGCCGCCGCGTTGCTCTCCCACTGTTAAAATTGATATATCCACAATTATTTCTTTAGTGGCTGCAATACTATAGGTACCAGCTAATCTTTTCGTTGCTTGACACAGTAAAATAAAATGGAATATTGATATTTGGTTAGCTTGTATTTGACTATTTGCCTAATTGATATTAAGCACTTAACCTGATTCAGGCAAAGTGTGGTAGTCATTTTTGTTTAGATTTTTTGACATATATTTGGAATTAAAAAAATATTATAGTGAGTTAGGTACTCTATTATATATTATTTTTATTGTATTACTAACCCACATATGGATTTTAATTATCTGAAATAAAGAATTTATTTATTTATATTTATTTATACTACACAACATATTGTGAAGCAGATTACAGGATTTATCACTTGATACTGATATAAATTGAGACATTAAACGTAGTGATTATTTTATCTTTGGAAGACATGGCTTAAAAGATAAGCATCCAAGCCAAATATCATAATAAAAACCAATAAAAACAGGGAGTATCCATGTATAAAACGAAAATAAAAAAAATACAAATTTAATTTTTAGGTTAAATGCAATGTTTTATCTTCATTATTAATTCATTTTTCTAAATTAAACATTTTTTTGTTAACGATCGAAAATTTAATTTCTTTTTATTAATTTATACGCTGTATTTTAAATTATGCCAAAACTTGAAGAAAAACCGAGGATTTTCTTGGAAGAATATCGCTTGAAGGTTATGTTTATGTTCTAGTAAAATACATCATACCATCATATTTTGATATCAAATTAAACATTTTGATTCATTTTTACAGAATGCTGCGAATGATTATGGCATGGCTGATGAAAAATGGAATTTTAAAAAATTCGCCAAAAACTTCCGTATTGTTATTGTAAGACTAGATAAATTTGAGATGGAATTTGATTTGATTGGTATTCAACCTGCTTTTGCAAATGCTTTTCGAAGACTGATGTTAAGTGAAGTTCCCAGTATGGCGATTGAAAAAGTAATGATTACAAACAACACGTCTATTATACAAGATGAAGTGTTAGCCCATAGGCTAGGACTAATTCCCCTCAAAGCTGATCCAAGACTCTTTGAATACCGCCCAGAAGGTAAATTATAATTCTTAAATACAACTAGTTTTTACGGATTTTATCGCTTATGTTAGCTTATTTTATATTCCCGAAGTTTCGAGCATTTTACAGCACTCATAGTTACGGGGGGGACTGAAGTGTTTGACGTCCCAATGTCATACTCGTAGTTAACCACGGCTACCTCCAGATATAAAATATTAATTTTTGTTCCGATTTATGCAGTATGAACTAATAGTATCCTGAAGTCTTGCAGTTGTAAGCTTGGGTTGGAATTTAATTTTATTAATTATAGGATCCCAAGTAGATGGTAGCTCCCAGCCATCTTCTCTATTGAAATTAGGATGAGTTTTGATTGTAATAACCACGTGAATCATCCTTGGAAGGAATTGGTGTTCTTTTGCAAGGATTTGTGGTCCATCAAATCTGTAGTGGTGGGGGAGATCCTGTATGTGTTAACTATGTGTTCTTTAACATGGGCTTTTACTTACCTTTAAGTGTGTCCTATGTAAGAGAGACCGCATTCACAATCAAGCTTGTACACTCCTGCATCTTGTAGAAGGACATACACTTGACCGATGGTAAAAACTGACTAATCTTCTTTGGCGGCTTATAATTTTTGCTCACATATTTTTACTACTCATAACGGGTTAACACATCTATACAAATAAATAACATTGAACTGTCTGTTTGTAATGTCAAAATAACAGCTTTTTACTAAATGCATAATATCCTTTCGACTGCGGAGACTAACCTACTGCTACTACTACTCCGTTGACTGCGGAGCTGTTTAATAAAATGGATGGCTGATTGGGCGCAGTCCATCTTAACGCAAATTTCTCGTTTCTGGTATATCAAATACTATAACATGTATACATTTCTGAATTCTATGTAAAATTTCCTAGAAATGTGTATATAAATTTAATAAAGTCCCAGAATAATTAGTGTAAGTAAATGTCGAGTAAAGTCAAAATTGTCATATTTCTCAATGAAACAAAGTTTTTTATAAGTTCAATTTTATGTGCAAAATCATAGGCTACAATACAATATTTTATCATAAAACACCTTAAAATAAGCTTACAAGTACCCAACAATCAACTTATATGGATGTAGAATGTACTCGTTGTTCGGACTGGATGTGGCATTAGTGCATTAGTCAATAAAACATGGAGGGTTTTTTATTTTTTTAATTACTTTTTAGACATACAGTAATAAATTTTGAAATAAAATTTACTTTTTATAATGCTTTTTGATTTACGAATTTCGCAAAGTACATACAAATAAAATGTACATTAGAAAAAACATAAAATACCACAAACTGTTTATATTAAAATAAAAAATAAATAAATATTTTAACTATTATATTAAATATAAAAATATATTAAAATAAAAATATTTAAAAAATATATTAATACTTTCTACTTTTCTTTTTTAATAAATTGTTTTAAAAAAAATCCGAAGTCTTGTGTTAACACATATGGCACATTCAAATGCCACATCTAGTTTTTCCTAAAACATTGAATGATCATGGAGTCAAAGAAAGCTCTGTTTGTCTGCTCGAGGGTGCTAGTTTCTTTACCAATCTAACAATTCAACCGAATTTGAACTTTATGCAGTATGGCAAACTTTAGTTCCTTATTTCGCCACCGGCAAAACAGATAACTAGAATCCACAACTGCGGCGTCTCAGAAATGGACACCATTGCACCTATTGCGTGTTTACATTGAAATATTGAAAATATTGCACTTAATCCTCATTTTGATATATTAAAACTGTGAATGATGAACTATTACACATATTTTAACACAAAACTGACAGTAAACACTAAAATTTTACATACATTTCAAGCCAACTTTCCGCAACCTGCATGTTAGTTCTAAGATAGCAGTTTGCTTCATACAAATTAAAAAAACATTTCACACTTACAAAATGAGATGAAACACAAAATGAGGTTACAAATAGGAAGGTTAGTTACCCAGGCGTTGTTTTAACATAATTAACCACACAATCAATCAAGATTTGTATGAAATAAATGCAAACAACATCGATGTTAGCGTGCGTCAATCACACTGATGGCTGACTCAAGGGACATATGAAATCAAAACATGATATAGATATAAAATTCTACTAAAGTGTGTAAGCTGTGGGGTTTTTATGCTATCCTTTTTTATCCTGTATACATCGACATATAGTAGAATGAGTTGGAAATAGTGCTTAATGCTTTGTTTCGTCATTAAAAAAGCGAGTAAAAAATGTCTAACTCTTGGACACCCGCAGTCAACGGAGATATTTTCTTGTCCAAGTGTTAGACATCAGCAGTTGAGAGGTTAGGAAATTATATACAGTACTTATAATAAAAAAAAATTGTTTCTCTGTTTGTTTGTTCCGGCTAATTTCCTAAATGTCTAAACCAATTTTTACAGGACTTTCACTAGCAGATAGCTGTTGTTATAAGGAGTAATTAACGCTACTTTTATTTTATAAAAAGAATTAGGGTACCGCCCAAAAAAAATAAATTCCATGAAATCCGATTGTAATAAATTCCACACTGGCGAAGTTGCGGGGAACAGCTAGTTTAAAAATAGAAATCTTATATTTAGCATGCAGGTAAAAAGTTTTACAAACAGTGTTCTTAATCCTACCTTTCAGATGCTACTGAAGGAACAGAATTTGATACTTTGGAGTTTTCTCTAAAAGTCAAATGCACCACAAATAAATCACAACCCAAGGATTCATATAGAACGGAGGATTTATATGAAAATCATAGTGGTAGGTATTATTTTTTATAATTATAAGCTTGTTTATTTTTGTGGTTAACATTTCTGCTTATTTTTTTATGTAACAATATATAACAATACAAATAGAGAACCTAGTGTCATCTATCTCCATGGGCAGGCATCCGTCACTCTTGCTATCTGCGTGACGTAAATACCAACAATCGTATGGAACCTCAGGTTACATACACACCCAGGGCCAGCGTGTTTAAGGAGAGCGACTTACTAGAGAATTTCAAAGTTTTTCAACACTATTTATTATGTTATATATTATGATTATTTGTAAATACTTGTATAAATATTTTTGTTTATTGTTTAGTATATTTAGTTATAGGATAAAATAGTTGTAAAAGTTTTAGTGTAATTTGTATGTATATTATTGAACATACATTCATTAAAAATTTGAAAACATAATAGTGAAAAACCAGCAATTAATTTACTGAAATTATTAGTTAGTTACAACCTATATACATCGTCACTGTTGTGCACAGGCCTCCTCTCATCTCAGAGGGTTTTTGGGCACGGAAATGTCCACTGTGCTGCCCAAGTTAGTGAACTTCACATGTCTTTGAAATATTTTTTTACTTATTTCTCAAACATGCATGGTTCAGCACGATGATTTCCTTCACCACCGAGCACATGGTAAATCAGCACTTAAAATTGCAATTAACAATTTCATTGGTGCTGGCGGGGATCAAACCCATGTTGCTTGCATACTGTGAAAGAGCAATGGCAGACTTTCATACATAAAATTAGTTGAGAAGAAATGGTAGCGTCTATATACCAAAAATATCTTAAAATGTTAAGCGTCAGTCCCTTAATAACTTTGTCAAAGAATTTTGTACTGAGAAGGCGTCAAAAAAAAGATATTTGCATTTGAACCTTTTTAGGTTATGTCCTATGTCGCTTGGAAAAAGTCATGCTTCCTGTGGTTGTTTGATGTTAGCTTAATACATAATACATAAATGAAAGTTTTTAGATTATTGTATCTCTATTATATATTTGCATACTATAAATGTACATTTCTGGCATGGCTCCAGGGCTTTTGTACCATAGTGACATTCTCAGAAGGGCTAGAACCCAGAGCCGTAAATCCAGTAAAAATAAACAGTGACATTTTATTTTAGCTAGTGTTGGCATAACATTAAATGGAATTGTTACATAGTACTATGATTGAGATAATGTATTACCGTAGGAAATTCTTTGTAAGAGACTTATTCTCAGCCATATTACTTTTATTTTTGTTATTACCGATAGTACAGTTATTACTAATAATAACTTAATATAAAAATATTTTGTGTGTTGTGTTGGTAGTGTTACAAAGTGTACATACGAAAATAGTAGGAATATACTAAATGGCAACATTTGAATAGAGTAAAATGATTTCAGTCATTTGATATTCCCAAAAATGTTTGTTTTTTGCTGTGGCTTTGATTAAAATACATTTTTATTTGAAAAATCATATAAAAATAATAAAACTCATTTTATATATAACTTATTTCTAGACGCTATAATTTTTGTCAACTATTTTTCTGCCATTGCTCTTTACAGTGGGCGCTGAACTATCACGGCGCTTGAAATTATTAACCAATATTAGTTTAATCACACCGCGTCCCTCCCAGTATTCACTTAAATTTTACGTCAGATTTAGAGATTTTTCCACACTTAAATTTAATAACCATTATATTAGAGATAGTAAGAAACATTGAATATTATATTACAGTAAAACAGTTGTAAAAGTTACTTACATATACTGTTTTTTTTTTCATTTTATTGAAAACCAGCTGTGCTCCGCGGTTTCACCCGCGTCATTACGTGTCCGAGGTGCGCGACATGACATGACACCTAGTTCAAGCATTTTATAATGGCAATTAAATATTTTATTTGATAGCAATGTATGGATAAATTGGCATAATTAATGGAGTACTTTTATCTGTCGGCATATGTATGATGTAGAGCGAAGTTAAGTTTTATCCACTTTCCTTCCCCCTCCCGGTTGAGCGTCCTCCACCTCTCCCCCTCACGTCCCAGAAAGTGACCCGAAGCGCGGTTTTTTTCAGTTTTAAAGAAAACTGTACACATGATATATGATACATGAAAAGTGTGTAGGCATGGAATGATTCTTGATAAATTTGCTATCAAACTCTTATACTTATTAATCAGTTAAATTTTCAAAACATCATAGCAACGTGAAATGAAAGAGTTCAGAAATAAAGATGTAACTAATCATTGTCATAAAAGTACTCAATTAATTTTGAATTTATTTTAGCTATAATGATTGAACTAACCTCGCTCATAGAAGTTTTCAAATTTCAATACTGGCTTTTCGCAGTTCTCACCGGGCGGCTAGGGTTTATGCGTCGTTCGAACGCCCAGCCAAGTATTGAATTATTTTAATTTTACATTATCTCTTAAACTATGCGTCCAACTAACATGGTATAAAGAACAAAGTTTATCTTCATAAAATTGTCTTGATGATGAAGTAACATTCGTTCGTAAGGATAAATAGGCCATGCCTAATAATAACGCTTATATATCACTTTTTAATTCTCAATATTTTTTGTCACTAAATACCTAATTATGGCTTATGTATAAGATAAAGACATATGGTATCGCGGATTTTTTTTTTAGACGGAGTAAAGATCTATATTTTTCTAGAACATTGTATTTGCGTATAATAACACCAGCGTACGCGGATAAATCATTTCGAGAGCGCTTTTTCTTCTGACTTGCTTAACAAATATCCATATTTAAGGCTAGCTGAGTGATGTAGCTTAATGCTAGATAGGCTATACTATTCCACATGAATCTGGCTATAATATACAAAAAGATTTTTTCAAATCGGACTGGTAGTTCCAGAGATTAGTGCATTTAAACAAACAAACTCTTCCGTTTTATTATATTATAATATATAGTATAGATTAGCTATACAAAATGTAATGTATATGCACACACATACCTTAACATAAAAGCTTATCACACAAGTACTATTTTATGTATGTGTATGATGTATTATCTTATATAAATTCAAATGTGAGATATAATAGTTACATATATTACAAACCGACTGCAACCAGTAAGCCATTATTGTAACACCTGCTTTGGAATCACTATTTAAGATTGCAGGAGAGATAATCTCTTTACTTATGTAATTGGTTCTTATTACTTCAAGTCTAGAAGCATAATATACTCATTTATGTAATTAAGCATGTATAAAGTTTTGTATAGTTATAATATGTATTTCTGTGCTTATATAAGTGGTTATGTATGTAATGTGTTCTATAGTAAAATTCCTGTGTCTAGCACTCCATTATTATTTAAATAATTTCTAAAACATTTACAACCTATTTATATTTTCCACCTGGAGGTAGACTAGACACCTGTGTTTGGTACACATTGAGATGGCCACTGTGAATGGTATTATGTAGCAAATATTATGCCTTTTTCTGGCTTCAGTATTAGGAATCTATCTATTATATTATTTTAGTCTAACTAAAATAGCAAATTTCAAAGAAAACATTGATGAACTTGAATTTACTGAATTCATTATCTTTTAGAACCGGTTTATGCTTAACCAAATAATTATTATTTCAAAATATTATATATTTTTTACAATTTTCAGTATATTCTTCGCAAATTAAATGGCACCCAATTGGAAACCAGACATCTGTTTATAAGGAGACTGATATAGGACCTGTACACGGTGACATTCTGATATCTAAAATGAGGCCAGGGCATGAATTAGATCTTCACCTCATTGCTGTAAAGGGTATTGGAAAGGATCATGCTAAGTTTTCTCCTGTTGGTTTGTATTTTATATATTTTACGATAGGTCTTAAGTAATTATTATTTTACACTTACTATGTACAATGTTTAAATAAAGTAAAGTTTTATATAATTTAAACTAAAAATAAATTGTTATGTAAATTGTATTGTAAAGTCACGTCACATTATTAAATTTATTAATAATGTGACCACAGCATCACCGGATTTCTTTTTTGGCACTAAAGTGACACATGTTGTACATATGAGTCATTTTGGTACATAAATATACATAGAATCGGATCCTAGCTCAGCTATGAACCACAATCTAATCTAAACAAACAAATATATCTTGTGAATACAACATCCAATGGCCAAGTGTTCAGAAGTTAGACAATAACAAACAAATGCACCAACAACATAAATAGTTTAGCTTAGTTTAGTTTGCAACGGGCTATTTTTCACAACTCAACATCTAAACCACGTTTGTAGTTTGCGTGTGGGCAGGAATAATGTAGTTATTTAAGTCATGATATTTCCTCGAAGTAGTTCAGTAAACCTTTTATGTTAGTGACGACCTCAGTGAGAGATCTCGGCATGTAAAGATATTTAGCCCTGTTAGTGACATACTGGTAGCACGTGAGCCGCCATTTCTCCTTCCCTCATGTAAACCCTGCATAAGCGACTGCCTTGTAACACCTATGATTAACAGAGGATTATTATAAGGGCAGTGTCCTGTAAGAGCACTAGATACTATCCAGATTAAGGGTTTATATAGTAGTTTTAATGCTTTGGAAATGTGACCATTAATTACAGACATGCCTTCTTTAGCCTGTCTGCAATCTTTATGGTTAGTCCAATGCATGTTGATTAATATAATGTTTATGAACCAATGAACAAACACGTCTAAAAGGAATCGGTATAATCGCTCCTGGCCTTATGGCACCTAGTGCCGATCTATCTCTGGTTAGCTCGTCAGCCGCGTCATTGTATCTAGAGCAAGTGTCACCTGTGATCCTATAGTGAGGTCACTCAGATTCAATGTATCATTAGTCCTTAGTTCTTCACGTTGTTGTTCAGAGCGTGTAGTACCTCTATGTTATTACAAATTCTGAGCAACTCTGGTACACAGTATTGGTGAGTATTTGGATAGAATTGTCCTTTACTTTTGTAGCGGTTATGTTTGTCGCCGCCTGAATTATGACCATACACTTTTTTATTCTTTGAATATTCTCAGTTGTCTGGGTTTCAAACTTTCTAGCTGGTCTGTTTCATATAATTGTATTTTATATTTATATTACTATATTCTTATTATATACACATGTAAAAACTAGCTTTTCCCCCAGCTTTCATCGTACACAGAGCATACATAGCATACATAGAGCGGGACAATATTAAATACTGGCACACCTCTTGTACCTTTACAAGGCGCAGGTTCGGCCTCGTATGGTATCCTGTTTTCATCTCTGGGCCAGGTCACCCCAGTGCCATCTCCTTCCACTTGACAGCACCTAGCGAAGAGCGGCTCTAATTGTCGACGACCAAGATTTTTCTGGGCTTGATTCAATGGCGCTGCGAAGAAATGTTGCATCACTTAGCATTTTCTGTCCCATTTACCACGGGGAGTGCACAGAGGAATTATTCAGCTACAAAATTCCCGATACCGTCCATGTCATCTGGACGCTAGGCGGTCCACCACTGTGCGATTTACTAAGAGTTTTCTTACTCTCACGATGACTTCTTTATGGAATCGTTTACCACCGGCGATTTTTCCGGACCGTTACTTCTTAGGGACGTTTGAAGGAATGATCTTACTCTTTTTTAAAACGCCGGTGTTACAGTTGTTTGTGGACGGCGGTCGGCACATTCTATTAGGTTGAGCTGCATGCTCTTTTACCCCCACTTCTACAAAAAAAAGTTCAAATAACACAGTTGTATATTGTAAATGCCTAGCCTAGCCACTCAACCGTCCATCGAAGGTGACTACAGTCCCCAAAAACCATTATTGCCTCACCTGTCTAGGCACCAAACGACATCTTTCGGTTTAAACGCGTACAGCTCAAAAGATAGCTGTTATTAATACAGTACTACTACTATTAATACTGTATTACAGTAAAAAATTATAGATGGTGCTATATGAAATTTGTCGTCTGTGAAAGTGAATTTTATCTGTATAATAGTAACAAAATATTTAGAAAAAAAAAAGTTAAAATTAAATTTCGACATTTTTGTTTGTGGAATGTTAACGTGTGAGAAATTCGATCAAAAATGTGATAACTGTTCTGTTTTTATACGTTATTTCTAATGTTATTGTACATCAAACTAATTGTGAAGATATTTTCTTTAGTAAATATGTATCATTACGACATTTCCAAAACGTTTACATATAATAATTTAGCTCTATAATCACTATACGCGATTATCGTTTATTGATTATATGTTGTATAAATGTATTCTAATCAGTTTTTTGTGTTAAATGAATGCAAAATATAAAATGATGATTCATTATTAACACGTTGATAGCAATTTATAAACGAAATATCTGTTGAGATGTGTCTAGAAATTATTAAAACCTATTTTTTTCACTTATATACTTATTTATTCAAATTTATATTGGGTAAACATTATAACTTATGTATATTGAGTATATAAGATGTTATTGATATTGGTGTCATTTTAAAGGGAATATCATGTACTATTATAATATAAAATAATTGTCTCCAGTAAGTATTATACTTTTCTCGTAAAACTCGAAATAAAAAATAAATACGATTTTTATGATATTCCCATTATTTTAAGCTTTATTTTCAGGCTATATTTTTAATTTGACTAATTTTCTTTTAACAAAATAAAATTTTGAATTCTTTGAGTCTTTTGAGAATATTTTTTATTTGAATGTAGCTATAGTAGTTTTTCAGTAGTAATTATTTTAGTTAAGACTGTCTCGCGCGGTCGTAAAAAATAGTGACATTTAATTCACGAACAGGTCAGGCGAGTAACACTCGCGCTGGGCGGACGGTTGAGTGGCTAGCGAGTTGTGCAATTCCCTTTAATATGTAAGAGTAAACAATGAGATGGTCTACCCCTGTTTGTGTATGAATATGTATATTTTATTGTTACGACGGCCAGTTAAGACTTAATTATGTTTACGCGAGAATATTCGCAAAATTAGACATTGCAATACAAATATATGTGAAATCAAAGCATGTCTCCCGGGAGAATAAAATGCAATCAAGACAATTACGATACAAATAAGACTCAGCTTTATGTCTTTTGTATAAACCTTTTCTTCTTTAGGTATATTAGCAATCGAGATTGTTTTAGTTTTATCTCATTGAAAGAGAGGGTTGAATGTTTGAATGAACTGGATTGATATATTATATATTCTACTTTAATTATATTGGGTATATATATATATAATAATATAATAGATATGTAATTGTAAATTCAACTCCAACGGTTGACACTGAGAAGCGAATTTTAAGAAAGCGTCCTACGAGATGTTCGAGTATTAAATACCTCGAAAAAGAAGCAGGAAAGCTTAGCCTTTTGGATGACATTGTGCATTGTGCAGTATACATTTGCTTTGTGTGTGGAAAAAATACATCTATTTCTTATCCTTATCGGTATGATATTCACCCGTATGTAACACTATCATGACATGTCTTTAACTACCTATAGGCTTAGTATGGACAAATCTTTCAAACAATTCTTGTCAGCACATTATTTGAAAGAACATCATCAGTAGATAGAACGCAACTAAAAAGGTTGTTGATGATAATGACGACTAAGCGCCTTTAGTAACTAACTATGGAGGATGTCACTAAAATATTTTACAGTTCCTCTTATTTGCGTAGTAGGTAATACTACGAGGAGGGTAACTTCTAATAATTACAGTTACACAATCAGAGTAGGTACATACAAACATCTAAGTACAGATTTGTTACCTACTCGTTCCAACCTGCCCGTTCTTGTATCCGATGTAACTGAATAGACAACAAATAATATTTCGATAGGCTGTTCGATTGGCTGAGTTACTGATTACCGCACGGAATGGACGGAAAGTGCACTAATATTGTACTAGGTTTGAGCTTATTATATATTGAGAGTATGTATGTAAAGCTCGTCAATAGCTCATGAATAATTTCTTCTGTGGTGTGATAGAAAAGGTTACTATCATCAAAACAACCATAATATAATGTGACTTCAATACTAACAATAATTACTGTTTAGGCGAATACTCTGACCCCCATGGTTAGAGTATACGCCTTCATAATCGTTCTATATAACTTGTTACATATCGAACTTTAGTTTTATCGATATCGGTAACATGTCACTGAATTCAATGATATTAATAGCTTTAAGATAATAAGGGCGTGAACCAATTTGAATTTGGTAATTTTTTTACAGCCACAGCGTCATATCGTTTACTACCAGAGGTAACATTGACGCGTGAAATCCGAGGGGGTCAAGCTTCAATACTTCAGAGCTGTTTTTCACCAGGAGTTATAGGAATTGATTCCGACGGCAAAGCATTTGTTAAAGACGCGCGTTACGATACCTGCAGCCGGAATGTCTACAGATACGAAGACATAAAAGATGCCGTTATACTCAGTAGAGTACGCAATCATTTTATTTGTAAGTAAACATCAAGTTTCGATAATAATTTGTGTTCAGGTTAAAAATGAAGTGATGAATAATTTAAACGCTTCGGCTTACTTGATGCTACTTTTCTAGATATTAGATACTACTCAGCTGAAGTATATAAATTTGTATAAAACCAAGTACGCATGGAAGTTTATAAAATTACCTCAATTAAGTACCCATTTTGGGAACTTTTAAACAAAAAGTTTCTAATATTTAAAAAAAAATGTGACGTTTATACATTCAAAACCAAATAAATTATATTTACCGATTAACGCTACGGACCCCTGGTTATTTCTAACACTTTTTTATAGAAATGTACTTCTTTATCTTTTAATTTATGGCTTCTCTTGGTAGAATTCAAATAATAATAATATTTAATTAGACAATTAAATATTAATTATATTAAGAGATCTCAATTTTACGACATGTTTCACAATCTACAACGCTGCCTGCACGCCACGTTTTCAAATACCGTCATCAATTTTTTTTTTAGTTTTTTTTTACCGTTTAATATTACATATTAGTAGGAATAAAATCACACAAGATATTTACAAAGGTAGAATAATAGAATAGAATAGAATAGAATAGAATGCGAATATTGCGAAAAACGAGATGTGAGTGCGCATATTGTGATTAGATGTTATTTTATATTTTTTAATGAATCATTGATGTGTTTTTCTAACATGTCGCTTTAAATGCAGTAATTATGATGATGTGCATTAAAAAATATTGAAAAATTTAAAGTTATATTATTTTGGGGTTACTGAAAGAATATCTTCCCCACTAATATCAAGTATTTATTATATATTCAAACATTTTTATCGTAATTGTTTATTAGATACAGAAGATAAAAATATATTTTCATTATAATAATAATTTTCAATTTATTATTTAATTGATTTAGACGAAACAAACTGTATCACTAAGCGATCTTAGGAGCAAATATTAAGTGGCACATATCTCTCGTCTAGCGTTTGCACATGCGTAAACGTCGAGACGTTTCCGAGGAAAGCGAACTTCAGTCCGGCCAAGATAGAACGCGCGGACTTTAATAAGGATCAATAAGATGTAATCAGAAAACCTAATGTTTGCGGCTGGGCGGTTCTATCGTAGTAACTGTTTAAGGCGAGGTGAATAGACGACTTTTATGTATTTGAGGGGGTGAAGCAGACGAAGTAAGGGACGAGTAGTCCAGCCCACTGCGGGGTGCACCGCGTGAATCTTGCCGACGCTCGACGTAAAATGTACAATTGGTCCAGCGCGTCGCTGTCCGCCTTCGCACCGCGTTTCCGCGATGACTGGTGGTCGAATCCCATCCGACATATAATAATAAATAATAAAATATTTATTTGCATAAAACATGGTACATTTTGAGGTCTTATAATATAGTGTGAACATGCATGTTTTACCGATTTATCAGTATGCAAATATTAAGTTGACATGCAATAATTGAAGAATTAAAATTACAAAATTACAAAATCACAAAATTACAATAACGTTTCATATCAAAATTTAATAAAACAGTATAATGTCAATAAATTTATGATGTAAAAAGAGAATAAAATAAAAAATATACAGGTATGGTCATATCATAATGCATAATGTCAAACTAGTATAATGTCAATTTTACAAATTCTAATTCATTTGTCAATTTAAAATTTCAATTAACAACAATTCGCTTGAGATGACCGTCACGGCAGAATTTAATAAATTAATTTACGTAATAAAAACAGTTTTCAATGAGAGTCCCGAAAATAACTTTTTTAAACTGAATTTTTAGACTGGCCTGTTGGTCTAGTGGTTAGTGACCCTGACTGCTACGCCGGAGGTCGTGGGTTCGATTCCCACCCAGGACAAATGTTTGTGTGATGAGCACGATCATTTGTTCTGTGTCTGGGTGTAATTTATCTATAATATTTATGTATTTAGAAATATATAAGTATGTTTATCAGTTGTCTAGTACCCATAACACAAGCTCTGCTTAGCTTGGGACTAGATGGCGTTGTTTGATAGTTGTGGAATATTATTATTATTATTAAACAGATTAAATGTCAAGTTTTGAATATGGTTCGGATGTAAATTAAATAATCGAACGCACATGTATAACTATTTCTAGCAAAACAAGTTGTGGCTGCCTGGGGCACAGCTAACTTCCACGGGTACCTTCTTGTACTACCACGATCATTATCTTGTTTTGTGAAGTGGTTAGCATTTTTTTTGGTCAATATTAAAATTTCATATAATGTATAAATAAATATATATTATATATATATAATACATAAATTTCATATTTTGTATTCGTATTTTTTAAATGTTTCTACATTTACTTTCGTATCTAAAATATGTACATATATTTGTTTTGTTATTCTAAAAATATTATGTAAAAAATAAATAAAAAAATTAATAAAATTGAATTATAATTATTTCAAAAATACGAAATCAAAAAATAAATAATTACTGAAATTTTTTTTCAAACAAGAAAAATAATAAAGAAAACAATTACTTCAAATAAGAAATCACCAAAAAGTATACCCGTGTTATGTGGGGTTAGAAACCGAGGATAGACATTGATGCAAAAAAAAACTAATTCAATGTACGGTACCGCTAGACTAAACGAGCTACTGTATAGATAATCTATATAAACAAAATAAAGTGTGCACTAAAAGTGGGTGTACTTACTTTACAACTTCCATCATGTGTTTTTGTTTCATTGAACAAGATCGCTTTTTTTGTCCTCCGTATATTTTTATTGTTGCCCATTTTTTATAACGTACTGACACTGATTGTTTATTATTACAATTGATGACTAAAACCGAAATCGAACAAAAGTTTACACCAACTTACAATAAAATATACGCAGCTTTTAGGACGCGTTTACAAATCGGGCAAAATTATGCTGTTTTTCGGTACATTTTGTGACATAACTAAACCAAATCAAATATAACTAATAACTACCACGTAAAGACTGGTTCTTCATCTTCAAATAGTAGTGACATATTTGTTCAAAATATTAGTTTTTTTATATTGTAAAAACAATCTTCCTTAGCCATTTTCTACAAAATTGACGAGCTCGAAATAAATGGCTCGAGTTTAGGTACATTTTTTATTCTATTATCAATATATATTAAGATTTCTAAAATTACTACAAGTAGGGTGACATATTCAATAAAAAGTAATAGTATTTACTTTTTATCAAAATCTCACCAATAGTCGTAAAAAAACAGATGCTTATTTTTTCACATATTTTACTAATACGGATGAATCATAATCGATTGCAATAAGGGTTATTTTTTGGTTACTGAAGTACATCATCAGGTCTCTCTCTATCAAGTCAGGAGGTAAGGTCTCATCATAACTAACAAAACGAGTCCAAGCTCGGCACACCTAGTTCTATTCATCCAGCAGTTCCAGTACTAGTCACCGAAGTACACCATCAGGTCTCTCCATCAAGTCCGGAAGTAAGGTCGCATCATAACTAACAAAACGAGCCCAAGCTCGGCACACCTAGTTCTACTCGTCGAGAAGTTTCAGTAGCAGTCACTGAAGTACACCATCAGGTCTCTATCAAGTCAGGAGGTAAGGTCTCATCATAACTAACAAAACGAGCCCAAGCTCGGCACACCTAGTTCTACTCGTCGAGAAGTTCCAGTAGCAGTCACTGAAGTACACCATCAGGTCTCTCCATCAAGTCGGTAGGTAAGGTCTCATCATAACTAATTGAACTAGCCCAAACCCGGTACACCTAGTTCTACTCGTCCAGTAGTTCTAGTAGCAGTCACTGAAGTACACCATCAGGTCTCCATCAGGTCCGGAGGTAAGGTCTCATCATAACTAACAAAACGATCACAAACTCTGCACACTTAGTTCTACTCGTCGAGGAGTTCCAGTAGCAGTCAGCGAAGTACACCGTCAGGTCTCTCCAGGAAGCCTGGAGGTAAGGTCTCATCATAACTAACAAAACGAGCCTAACCTCGGCACACCTTATTCGACTCGTCCAGGCGTTCCAGCAGCACTCACCGAAGTACACTTTCAAGTCATACAGGTAGGTATTCGAATTTCCTATCTAAGTATATTTTTGTAGGTATAAGAAATGAGAAAAAAAAATCAATCTTTCATAGTATCTAAATGTTTTACTTGATTACGATTCCCGCAGCTAACCGTGCGTATACTTGTGTGTGTGACCCGTGTCAATGTAATACTTCTATTCTATACCTATTATTTTTGCAAACGCGTCCTTAAGATCGAACAGATACGTAAATGATTTTTGAACGGCGAGCGAAGCAAATTGGTACAGGCCCGTCTAGCAGCGTGCCTCAACGATCACTGTTTGATTACTGTCGCTCCTCACTCTCACTCCGCGTAGAAATGAAAGAGAAGCGAAAAGACGCCACGATGGCGCGATGTGAAACATTGATTCGTTCGAGTTATTTTTCATTAAATATATTAATACTTACAAATATTTTATTTCAATCGATAAATAAAAACAACAGTTCCTCTTATTATTATATACTACATCACTGTTATTCAATTTATTAACATTTGCTTATAAATAATACAGTTACAATTGCTAGAAATTCAATTTCAATTGCTATTTTATGATTTTTTTTAATCGAGAAAATTTACCGAAAAGGTGTTTTGAAAACAATGGTCCACCCATTAATATGATCAAGATTAACATTTTTTTTGCAGCTCTAAAATGTATATATTTTGTTAAAAAACTGTTTTGTAAAGCCTAGTTTGACTGTGTACATCGCCTTAAGTTAATGTATACAAATTTAATTATTATAATTTATTTTTTTACAGTTAATGTGGAGTCTGTTGGAGCAATGCCACCGAATGTTATATTTGTTGAAGCTGTTAAAATACTAAGAGATAAATGTAAATCGCTTTTGGATGAATTAAACAACTTTTAAATATATTGATATGGTATATTATTTATTTTATTATGTTCATTACAAACGTGCTAACGGTTCACCTGATTGTAAGCATTTTCTACAGCGCATGAGACATTCGCAATTTCGACGAAAGAAGGCCATACTTGTTCAAAGTTAACATACCAATGAGCTTTAAAGCAATGCATAATTGGACGTGGTTATGCAAAAAGGACCCAACCCTAAATAGAAAGCTAATTTGAGGTTATGAAATTTGAAGAATGGATCTCTATGACTTGTGTTTGTGTTTCTAATTTTTCTTCTTATTTGTGTTACTTTCCCTAAAATTGTTGCATCACATAATAGTATAGACCACAAACATTATTTATAACTGAACATTTTTGACACAAATTACATTGGATCCTTTTTGCGTAACTATGTCCAATTAGTTTTGACAACATACTAATTTCTTTATAGAATAGGGGTGACAAACGACCACACAGTCCACCTGATATAAGTGGATGCTGTGGCCTAAACTATTCATCTATATTTAATTAAGAATCAAAGTCATTTTCAGTAAAAAAGGTCTTCAGTTCTCTACACTCGTTATACAAAACACGGCAGCATTAAGCTGCTATTTTATGTTGGTATTTTGTAAGAAGGTGGTCCTTCTCCGGTCAAGCCAACCCATACGTGCTATAACTATAATATAGCTGCAACGTGGCCCTATCACACCACTGTATTAAATTTTAAGGCTCAATACCACTAGCTACTAGCATATATACTATAACTTTAACTAGCTTTTATACTACTGGCGGGCTCCCATATGAAACTTTTTTCGCGGGAATTTCAAACCTTTGTATTCTTTAACTTTTAGACTTTATATTTATTTATAGCAAATTCGAGTAATTTCGGCTCAAGCCTGATAAACTATTGGATGAATTCCAATTCATTTAAGATGATTCAGATACATCAGCATGTGGGATAAAATAAAACTATAAATAGGTTTAAATAGTTAGGTACTTACGTAATTTTATTTTAAAATAAAAATACTTAAATAATTAAAATAAAATATTTCATCGCATTTTAGTTTTGTAGTTATTGTCAGAGGGTTATTTTTCACAGAACATCAATGTAAATTTAAATCAGTAAATTCTAAGGTAAAAATTTAGCTCAAATACGTCATTTGAAACAGATAACAAATGAAAGAGTCAATATAATAATAATCCCTACAAATAACGGCCAATAAATTCAAAATGTTTATAGACTCACTATAATACTGTCCATAATCCATACGTTTTCCCTTTCATACTTTCGGATACCTGCGGAACGTGATAAGATGCTATTGTGCTTTTTGTTCGTACAACACTTAACTTACTTTCGATTCTGATCACACATTGAACATAAAAGTTTAAAATAATAAATTATTTTAGATTCAATATCTTATACATAGTCAACATCTCACAAAAAATCTTTACATCCACATTCGTGAGGAGACGAACGATAATAACTGCATTTAAGCAAAGAGCAATAATAAATATTAAAATTTAAACCAATGAAATAAATTTGAATTTTTTTCCTAGTTTGGCAACTACCAATGGATTCTGCCAGCGTCAAATATTTCATGAAAGCCCTTGAAAGCCATACAGTCTATTAATTTGAAATGGAGAAAATCTTACAGTAATTACTAATTACATACATATAGTGAGGCCACAGAATAAATAATAGTACTACGTAAAGAAGTTGCACTCTTTTGATGTTGACTGCTTGCCGACGTTTTAATAGCCTACATAATTATTATTAATCAGATAAATCGCGCACACAAGCTAAATAAAACTATCGCTGCGCGCCAGTGTCCGTATTACTTTGCATCTTTTCTCCTTCCTACGTACAACGGACTTTCCGTGGTTATTAAGTGTCTAAAAACATTTCAGTTCTAATAGTTCTACTCTAACCTTAGTATTTAGTACTGAAAAATGTCAAGAGAGGTCGCTAGCGTCGAATTACAACTATCTTTTCGTTCACGGCAAACCGTATAGGGTCTGAGAATTATTGTGCAATAAAGTTGTTTTACTACTGGAAATAGATTTCCGTAGCTCTCATATACATTGTAACGTTGGCGACTAGCGCCGGTAGGATTTTCGTCGAAATTCATTCTAACGAACGTATCGATTCGTCGGGAATGGAATCAGCACCCCTAAAAATCGAAACGTTCGTAGTTAAACAACTTTATTGCACAATAATTCTCAGCCCCTATACGGTTTGCCGTGAACGAAAAGATAGCGAGTTGTAATTCGACGCTAGCGACCTCTCTTGACATTTTTCAGTACTAAATACTAAGGTTAGAGTAGAACTATTAGAACTGAAATGTTTTTAGACATCCCGCCCACCAAAGGACTCCGTTCTTTCACAAAATAAATTTATACAAACCAAAATAAGGTCTATAAAGGAACGCAACAGTATAGAAACTCTTAATAGAAACTATAGAAATAATTAGGCTCTGGGCTTACATACACCGCCCACCATGAGATCACACTCAAAGTAAAGGAATAAATTAAATTACTAAAAAAAAAAAGATACACATAAATTTGTACACAACCTTAAGAAAAAACCCAAAACTAACATCAAACTAACCCTGTAGTTACAACTTAAACAAAATTTTAAGCTTAGTCTACAGACTTAGGTAGCAAATATAATTTGTTACAAGGCCGTTTACAGTATCCGTTCTTAGTTTTAAGCGTTACAACACGTGCAATCTGATCTTTACCGACATGTTTTTCAACAACTCTACCTAACAACCATTTTGCAGGAGGTACGTTATGACCTTTAATTATAACAACATCATTAATCTCTGGCTCAGTTATTTTCATTGTCCATTTATAGCGTTGATTTAAAGTTACTAAATATTCTTTAGACCACTTTTTCCAAAAATCGTTAACCATTTTTTGAGTATATTTCCATCTCTGAAGACCAGTTACATTTTTACTGGTACAATATTCATCGGGTATTACAATAAGTGGCTCCCCAACTAAAAAATGACCAGGCGTTAATGGCAAGGGATCATCAGGATTATCACTGAGATAAGAAAGTGGACGAGAATTGAGACATGCCTCAATTTGAGTTAAGACAGTCGAAAGCTCTTCATATGTGAGCGTAGAATCTCCTATCACTCGCTTTGCTCAAATGCGTTTTAGTGGATCGAACTCTGGCCTCCCACAAGCCTCCGAAGTTGGGAGCATGTGGAGGTATGAAATTCCATGTCGTACCTTCGTTAGCAAGTAAGTGGCTAATTTCGTCCGGCAGCTGTGATACAGCGCGATTAAAACTCTCCCTCAACTCTTTATCGGCGCCGACGAAATTAGTACCATTGTCGCTGAACAAGGTCTTACAATGTCCTCTCCGTGAAACAAATCTGCGGAAGGCTGCGATAAAGCCTTTAGCAGTCATATCGGTCACTGCTTCTAAATGTACCGCCTTTGAAAACATGCAGATAAAAACGCAGATATAGCCTTTGTAAGACTTTGCTCCTCGTCCAGGTGAAAAACGAATATTAATATGACCCGTAAAATCAACTCCTGAGATCTTGAAGGGTCTCGTTGGTTTTAAACGATCCTCGGGAATTTGGCCCATCAGCTGATTGTTGTTTTGTTTCGAATACCTTATGCACTTCACACAGGTTCTATACTGCTTCTTCACCAGGTCACGCGCTCGAATGATCCAGTATTTTGATCTTAAGAAATTAAGCATCAACTGTGGCCCGCCATGAAGCGTTGTAAGGTGAGCATCCGCAACTATGAGTCTTGTAAGATGACTCTCACTAGGCATAATTATTGGATGACGAGTGTCATAGCCAACCTTGGCTTCATTAATGCGTCCACCTACTCGTAACACACCATTCTCATCGAGAATCGGGTTCAGAGTATGTAAACGGCTCCTCTTGGGGACCCAGTTGTGGGCCTTTAAGTGCTTGATCTCTTCCTCAAAATATAAACTCTGTGTCTCCTTTATACAATGTCTCATCACCGTGCTCATTTCGTCGGCTGTTACGTTCTTCGATAAGGTGAGTCTTTGTTTCTTTGGTAGTTTTAAATTCAAAAATCTTTTGCAGTAGGACATCAAGCGTAACAACCTTGGTAATGAAGAAAATCTCGTCCAAAGGAAAACGTCCTTTGGTTGTATCGTAGTCACCAAAGACTTGACAGCCTTTTCTTCTTCTGCAATCTCAGGTTCTTGACAGCCATGACTCTCATACATTTTGTTGTCCCTTAGCCATGTGGGTCCGTGCCACCACAACTCGTGATCAACCAACTCTTCACTGCTTATGCCTCGGCATGCACAATCGGCCGGATTATGCTTTGTGTTTACATGTCTCCATTGACTTCTATCCAGTATCGTAAGTATCTCTGATACTCTGTTGCTCACAAAAGTCACCCAACGGTGAGGTTCTCCTGCAATCCATGCCAGCACCACGGTGCTATCCGACCAGGCGTATAATTTTTCCTTTGGTATTTTCATAACTTGGGAAACTTCATGTATTAACTTTGCGGCAAGAAGTGCAGCACACAACTCTAAGCGCGGTATGGATATCTCTTTTTGAACTGGCGCCACCTTAGTTTTGGATGTAATCAGGTTAACAGCAACTTTACCGTCCTTGTCTTCAGTTTTCAGGTAAACAACTGCAGCATATCCAGCTTGGGAAGCATCTGCAAAGGTGTGTAGCTCAACATGATCCTCTCTTTTTGTTTGCAGCCATCTTGGAACAATAAGCCTAGGAACATTTACCAGATCGTCTCTAAATTTACACCATTCACGGAGGAGTTCCGACGGCAAGTTTTCATCCCAATCAAGACCAGACTTCCAAAGTTTTTGGATGAAGACTTTACCCACAAATATCACAGGTGCGATCCACCCGATTGGATCGTAAAGTCTTGCAATTTCAGATAACACAGATCTTTTAGTCACTGTTTCATTTTTCATAGGAAGTTGTAAATTGTATTCGAAGTTGTCAGTGCTTTTGTTCCAAGATATACCCAATACTTTGA